GCTCCGGAGGGACCCCCGCAGGCGGCCGCCCCGCCCCGCACAGCTGACACGGTAAAGCCAATCACCTGATGGGGCCCCGGTCACGTCGCCAGCCAGGCCTCCGGGTCCGGGGACTCCGGAGGCGTGCTCCGGGCGGGCACCCCCGCTCCGACGGGCTCCGGTCCGGGGGGCTTAGACACCTAAGCACCGGGGCTGAGCTCCATGCCGACATTCCAGGGCGCGGCATAAGGACTCGTCACGTCCCCTCGGCATGTGCTACCGACACTAGAGTTTCACCACGCGGCACTTACGCCTCATTGCCGAAGTCCTCGATCTTGACCAGGTTGTTATTGTAGCCGTGGTGGTGGGTGGGTACCGCCCTGGGGGGGTAGTAGTACCCGTCCATAATGCTATCCATGGTGTGTCCTCGGTGCGCTGCACTACACTCGCATATCCCTCGGCTGAGTGGGTCGCGCGCGAAACTCGTCGGCTGCCGTGGCTGCGGATCGCACGGACTTGCCTCGACCCGAACCCCACGACGATTCCCTCCAGACTGATGATATGAGGGAGGAAGAGGGAGAGAGGGAGAGGGAGTGGGGGTGAGGGAGGACCACGAGAGCGCGCCCGGGCCAGCGCGGCGGCAGCGGCAGCAGCGCCCCCCTCCCCCTTCTTCTCACTCGCACGGCAACAGCAGGCAGCCGGCGCAGTGGCGGCGCGCGCTCTCTCTCTCGCTCGCTCCCGTGGGCTGTAGGGGGATGACTCGCTCCTTCTCTCTCACATTCAGTCTCCCTCCGGAGTGGGGGAAGGGTCGGTCCCTAAAATACGAGCACCACGTCAGTCCCTGTCTTACGTCATCTGGTCCTGGTTGGTGTCCTGGCCTGGCCGAGGCCCCGGCGGGGCGGGACATTCCGCGCAGGGCAGCGCTGGGACCTAACGGGCCTATCCAGGACAGTCCAGGACAGTCCAGTCCCACGGGAACAGCGGGGCCTGCAGGGGCGCGGCGGCGGCCGGCTGCGGCGGGCTTGCCCGTGGGGCTCTTTGTCTGCGCCAGCGCGCGACGCGCGCGTTTGGCGCCAAAAGGACTCCCGGCTGGCATCCAGGTTCCCGTCGAAGCGGGGCATCTGGTTGATGTCTTATCCGAGCCAGGACGTTTAACGTCGAGTTTCCGCCTCGGACGCACGGACACAAGTATTTTATACAGACTATGTATACGCCCTTTAAAGGTTTGGTGTCAACCAGATTCAAGAGTAAACTCTTAATCACCGTGATTTAAATATAATTCTTTGAGACGTTCGAAACGGGCGGACCACTCGCGACGCATAACGGATGAGCCCTTACGATTTGACCGCAGACAATAACCCCCAAGCCTAGGCACGAAAGGAAGAGTGGACGGCGATGGTCGCGATGTGACTCATGTGGACACGAGGTCCTTCTGGGAAGAGCAGAGCTAAGAAGAGCGCACAGCCTCACTGGACCCTAGTCTGGAGACCCAGCGCACACTCGTACAAGAGTGTCACCTGGTAGGAGTTCCCCGGCCTACCCTCCCTGCCCGGGCCCGCGACATCAAGTACAAGGTCCAAGTGCGTCCCGTGTACTTCTAAAGTACTACTTTGGTGTCCAGGCGGCGAGGACACGGGAGTCGAGCTCAACGCCACATCTCGTAGTGCGTGGCCCACAAGGCGGAGGACACCGTCAAGGCCCCGACTGCGGACGCGGACCCCGTCGGAGCGCCTCCCTTCCCCGCTTACGCGCGCGCCCTGCCCGGGGCGGGCTCTCACGGCCTGTCTGGCTGCCAGCTCCGTCTGCGCGGCACAGCCCGGGTCCCGGTCCCCTGCCGGCGACCCCTAGCGCTCCTTGCTCCCTAGCCAGCCCGTCGTAGGGGATGCAGGCCACCAGGTGTCCGCCCCGCCCCGCCCCGCCCCTCTCCTCGGCACATGCCCCGCCCCGTTTTATACAATTCCCGAATTTCCCTCGATAGATTTAAAAGGACAGAGTCAAGTCACCAAGGCGACGACCGCGGGATGTGGTGGGGGCATCCACACACACGCACACAGTTAAAAAGAAGCAAAGAGATAAAAAATAAAAATAAAAACCCTCATTAAGTCTATCTTGGACAAACTGAGCTCTAGCCAAGCCTGGTAGCCCAGAGTCTATCTGTCTTGACCATATGCACATCAAAAAACTTCAGAATTAGCCTAAAAGAACAAAGCATTCCAGAAATTGAAAATAGAAGACTGAAACTGGTGGAAACAGCCATTAACGGTCCGCACCTTACCTTTAATAATGAGAGTAATTTAATTGACTGTTATAAATTATTGTAAATGATGATATGGCTGACTATTTGAAAATTTCAGAAAGCACGTTACTTAAAAATTTATGATCCTATCCAACGTCATAGGCATGTAATAGCATTATGATAAGCAATACTGGGACTGGAGACCACTCATTAATATATCTGGTCAAAAAGATGACTCATAATGTAATAGAAATAAAAAAATTCTTGACAATGGTCAAATGTCACGTAATTGACAGAATATACTGATCTTCCTCCAAGAAAAGAATGAGAGTGGTACAATTGATCTACTACAAAACACACATAGTTAGAAAAATTTTGATACAAATAGTGGAAAGTGACAGACAAATACAGGTCCTTGTTGAGGGTCCGGGAGGCTGAGGACCAGGGATCACAACAACCACAAGGACAGGTTAGAGTTCATTGGATACACAAATTAAATCACAACTAGGCTGGCGTAAGGTTAGCTAGACTAGGTTATCAAGAAATGCGAAAAGCAGAAACAAAAGTCATTCATAGTACTTGAAACAACTGCAATGCTGGAGGACAAAGGAACACCCCAGCAGTTTGACAGTTCTCACAACAGAGCAAGACCACTATCGTCTGAGCTGTCTGTTAAATCCATTACACAGACTGCAAATAATATCTTAACATTGTAAATACAAAATTTAAGGAACGTGCGGTTACTCACAACATCTTCGAGGCTTCAAGGGAGACGTAGGTACCAGGTATATTTTCTAACACATTTTCTGTCAACTTCTAAATGAAAATACACAATATGGCCGTCTGTTTTGGCGCCTAAGCCGGTTTGCGCCTTCTACAAAGCATCGCCGAAAGTTGTTCTGCTGTCGAGTCTGACATCGGACAGGGTTGGCGGATCCCTTGCTTGGCGGTGGTGGGGGCAGGAGATGGAGGGTCCCGCCGACTATGTGCAGATCGCGGCCGTGGCCGCTCCCGCCGATGGCGCACTCTATACGTCACAGAGCAAAGCTCTTGCTACACCTGTTCGTGCCGGGCGGCCGCGGCGATACACCTGTTACCTGAGCGCTACCGTACGCCCACCTGAGCCAGGTAATCGCGGCACACCTTGACAGCGCTATACTCTCCGCGCGATTTTATTGAAATGGAAGAGGGAATGAATATGTCAGGTGAATTTTATAATGATGAGGTCAGGCTTGGGGAAAAGTCCCGCGCTTCACCTTCATCCCCATTGTTTGATGACGATTTTCAACCAAAGAGAACTGGTAAGAAAATAAATTACTTTGTGTTATTCAAAGTTTTACATCACAGCATATTTCCAAGAATAAAATCGTGTTTTTTAAATATCAGGTACCCTAACTGTGCGCCGAAAGATATATCCTGATAATAGCAACAATGGCATCTGCTGCCCTTTTTGTACAAAGAATTTGAAAACAAAGAAACTGTTGGTGAAGCACAAAGCAACTTGTTCTAACAACCCATCAAAGTTACCAAAATTTCCCTGTGAAAAATGCAACATGCAATTCACAAGGAAAGACAGTCTCAAGAAGCATGTTTCTCTAAATAGATGTTCAGCTACTTTAAACAAAAAGACAAAGCCTCGGCACTTGTGCTTATTTAATGAATGCAGTTTCAAAAGTTGGCATAAAACTGACTTAATTCAACATCTTAAGGTGAGTAATGATAGATCATAGGATTAGTAAAAACAAAAGTGTATTTAAAATTTGAGTAATTTAATTTAGATACCTGTTTTTCAGGATTCACACTCTGGCGAAGCTAAAATACTACCCCAACAAAATTTTAAATTTGATAACTGGGCACATTTCATAAACTGGAAGGATGAAGAAGAGAAACAACAGTACAGCTACTTTTCAGAGCAGTATGGAAAAAAAGATGGCCATTCTTATTTTTACTGCCAGCAGGATGGTCCAAGACGTGCCAAAATAAATTCAAAAAGTTCCAGTGATCTTGTGGAAGGAGAGAATTCTGAAGATGAAGATTCATCACAAGATGACGGACCAGCATTCAAACGGAGGAAGAGGAGCTGCAACAAAAAAGGCAGAATGAAGACAGGATTCAACTGCATAGCTATGATGAAAGTTTTAGAAACCAAGACAGGTGTGGAGGTGCAGTATTTTCCCACACATAACCATGTCCAGTATGAGGCTGATCTGAAGCATCAGCCCCTCACTGAGGCAACAAATTCGTACATAAACAAGCACTTGGCATATGGTGCTTCACCCAGAAAGATTGTTAAAACTTTGAGAGGGGACAAGTTTTCAAGGGAAAACAGAAAAAGACAAGACATGAAACTGACAAGAAATGACTTCATCACTATAAAAGCACTACGAGAACGTAAGAGAAAAATGGCTGCAGAAAAAAGTTTACATTCAAATGATTCTGATGCTGTACGAATGAGAGTTGAGACATTAAGAGAAGAGAATTATAATCCAGTATTAATATACAAACCTAAAGGTTATGAGCTGAAGTATGGACCGGAGTCAGCCAAAAATCTTCCTAAAGATGTGTTCATGCTGGGTCTGCAAACAGAAGAACAAGCAGAAATGATGAGAATGGCAAGTAGCACTATACTGATTGTTGACGCCACCCATGACATGGACCAGTATGGTCACCAGCTTTTAAATGTTGTAGGAGTTGATGAGCTGAACAGAGGATATCCTCTTGCACATTTAATTAGTAGTAGTATGAAAGAGGATTATTTGCAGTACTTTTTTGAGGCATTGAAACTAAGGTTGCCTGATTTAGAGATTAATTGTGTCATTACTGACGATGACCCTGCATTGATCAACTCCATGAATATGGGCTTTCAAGAACTAATTAGACATATTTTGTGTGATTGGCACTTCAAGAGGACCATTCAGGGCCAATTACATACAAAAGTTAAAAACACAGAGCTTGAAGATCAGATGTTTAAGGAGCTCTGTGTAGTAATAGATCTGACCCAAGAATCAGAGTTTAACCTTGCGTTAGATACTTTTACAAAAAAATATGGAAATTTTAAAATGACTAAATTATTTATATCTTATTTCAAAGCAACTTGTGTTCCAAAGAAAATGAAATGGGCCAAGTGTTACAGAAGGTTTCCACATGGAAACGTTGAGACTACTATGTATGTGGAATCTTTTCATAATATTTTAAAAACAATATACTTAAAGAGAAAACCTAACAAGAGGATTGAAACACTTGTGAATCTACTTTTGGAGGTTGAAGAGGATTACTACACCAGAAGGCAGACAACCATAAATACTGTTGCACCAAGAGAACAGTATTTTCAATATATTTCTGAACGGCATCTGAGAGGTGTAAATATTCCATGTGATGCCGTCCAGGAATATGATGAAAATGGTTCAAAGTATTGGATCATTAAATCTCAGTCCATACCAGATATGGAGTATAAAGTTTTTAAAAAATCAGACACATGCACACAACCTGGTATGTGTTTTTTTCAGTGTCATGCAACAGACTGCTATGACAATCTTTGTGCTCATATGTACATGTGCACATGCCCTGATGAAATTCTTCTGTGTAAGCACATTCACAAGGTGCATTCGAAATTTTCTGAAAACACACAACCTGATACTTCAAAACAAACGGAATCTGCAGTTGTTGAATTTCACTACATAGAAGAGAATAATGGTAATTCCAATAACGAAAATAATGAAAACACTAGGCAAGACAAAGAAGAGGAAGATCTTTTGAAGTCTTTAGAGGAACTTTCAAATCATATTAAGAATGATTCAGTTAAAAAAACTTTATATCCTTACTTGAGAGGTAATATTAAAGCAATGTTAGCTGAGTGCCGTTCAGTTGTGGATCAGGATGTGAGCGACAAAAGTATGCCAGGAATGACAGCAACTGTAAAACACACATCCCGAGAAAAATTGAAACGACAATTAAAACCCTTTACAAAGAAGAAACTATCAAAAAAACAACTAAGTTATGAAAAAAGCAAAACTCCAAAGTTTCAAGAGAAGGCTGATATCAAGAGGAATTTGTTAGCTTCAACCTCTTCAAGTATTGATAATAATAGCTGTGCTAGTCCTTGTGTTCCCTTTAATGAAAGTTCCCTTAATAATGATCATGAAATCGAACTGGACCCTGACACACCATTTAGTGAAGTAGTTCGCACAACAACTTTCAATCAACCAGCAACAAAACCTTCAGTACAATTTGTTTCTCGACCCATTTTCACTCATGGAAAGCCGTCAACAAAATTAAGAGATAAGCATAACATACTACTATAATAATCTTGTACATTGTTTTATGTTCACTCTATTATTTATATTTATTGTATCTGTTGATTCAGTTTGTATATATGAATTTTTTAAAAATATGATGCGACTCTTTTAACTAGAGACATGATATGTATACGTATCTGTTAATTCATATTGTGTTCATGAATTTTCAAAGATATGATGTGACTCTTTAACTAGAGATGTGATCTGATTATATATCTGTTGATTCAGTTTGTCTATATGAATTTTTAAAGATATAATGTTGACTCTTGAACTAATGATGTGAGCTGTTTATGTATCTGTTGATTCAGTTTGTATATATGAATTTTTAAAGACATGATGTTACTCTTTAGAGCCCTCACATTTTAGAACAAGGACTAAACAAGCTTCGGTACCCACAACCACCATTTGCGTTTTTTCTTGAGACCAAAGCCCCGTCCCCTTTGCACGCTTCTATGACAGTTTTATGGCACCAAGGTAGTAGTTAAATGAAATAACAATTACAGCTAATCTACCACAAGATTAGTTCATCTTTCGTACTTACCAGATAAACTCACCACCAAATATCTTCCTCTAATCTGGAACACTGAATTCTTATCGAAGAATTTCCTACAAACAACAGCATCTTTTGAGTGTCAAAGCCAAAGCGTCTGCCTTGTCTGGCTTGTCTGGCTGCGTGGTCCTGTTTCGTCGTGTCAATAGTCGGCACGGCGACGGCGAGCGGCGAGCGGCGGTACCCCATCTCCCCCCACTACCGCCAAGCAAGGGATCCGCCAACCCTGTCCGATGTCAGGCTCTCTGCTGTCGACCTTCAATTGTTATGTTTTTGTTTTTGTGAGCAATGAAATAAATTTAATGTCAAAAAACATGTTTTGACTATTTTGTCGTCCGTTCTCAAAAAAAGTTAAGCTTTTTTAAAGTTTTAACACATGGTGTGTATATCTTTTTATTCTTTAATAAGGTTTTCGGTCATTATTTACTCCTAAAGTAAGCCACGATGTATTTGTTGAGGTTATGTTTCATGTGACGCCACTTTGCTAATGTTCGAGTCGTATTTATCCCATGTCACGTCGTACAACCCATCCAAACATTTATTTGAAACTAACTGCATCTCGACTCTCTTTCCGTTTGGCACTATATTTAAAAAATCAGTCATACGTAATTATGTCAAAGCTTGTGTCTTGTATTTGACTGCCACTTTGTTTCAACGTCTGCAATTCATATAATTTTCAGATCAATGGAGCACAATCAAGCATCAAGTTCAGGAGCTTATGCGAATGATTCATTAGGAGGTGGATTACTGAACAATGGAAGCCCAAATTTTCAAGCAATGCAGGGTCATTCAGGAGAGTCCTTGAAGCGGAGGAGGTATGTTTATTAGTGTAGTAAAAATGTATTTATGTGCTTAATCTTCTCTAAGGTAATCTACATCTCATTTCATTTTGAGCAGCAGTTCTCGGTCCATCAAACGAAGAAAATTTGATGATGAACTGGTGGAATCAAGTCTTGGTGCCTATGGTAGCCCAGTTGCATCTAAAGTGGTCAGGACTCGAACTCAGTCTGTTACCCTTCCTCCTCAGCCAACTGAACGGAGCTATGGTAATTGATCTAGAATTTTCTGGATGTTACAATAAATGTATGGATGTTTCAAAACTTTTTATTGTCTATGGTATATCAATTTACAGAGCATTCAACACCAAGCACTAGTGCAAGCACCAGCGTTGCACCACCTATACCTGCACCAGTCCCTGCTCCTCTACCCCCAGAAAATAGACAAAAGCGAACGTCCTCTAAGGGCAGTGCCATGCCTGGGGGACGACGCAACAGGAAGCAGAAACATGCGCATAGTGTGTCGGCAAAGGACTTAGGGCGATGGAAGCCTACAGATGATCTTGCTCTTATTATTGGTGTTCAGCAGGTATTCTTGGCCTTTGAAATTTCACTTAAAGGTATTTGCTTTTCTCAGTGAAAAAGCAAGGTTGTTAATATCTGCTTGTTTAACAATTTCAGACAAATGATATTCGTATGGTACACCGAGGAGTAAAATTTTCCTGTAGATTTACAGTCCAGGAGCTGCAGCAGCGGTGGTATGCGTTGCTGTATGATCCAATTGTCTCTCGTGTTGCTGTTTCTGCCATGAGGAATCTTCACCCTGAAGTCACACAGGCAGTGCAGGCAAAAGCTTTGTTTAGTAAGGCAGAAGAAGAGCTCCTCGGAACCATCAAATCTGTAAGTCCTCATTCCATCATTTGACGTACCTTATCAATTTATGTTTCAATAAATTTATACAGTTTCAATTTTGCCTTTTCCACAGACATCTTCACCTACTGTCACCACAATGGTAGAACTCCTTGAAAAAAATCCACAAGTTTTTTTTCCTGCTAGAACAGCAAAATCTCTGCTGACCCATTGGACTTTGATGAAACAATATCATCTTTTACCTGATCAAACTGGTCAGTTAACATAACTTGGATGAATTTTTATTTATTTGTCTGTTGTCATTGATAATGGCTTGGTTTAAATATTATTTTCATTTTGCAGTTCAAAGTTTGCCCCAAGCTGAGCATGTTCTGAACTTTTCTGATGCAGAAGAATTGATCAATGATGCAGAATTAGCTGACCTACGAGATGAAGCTTTAGAACAAGAACTTGCTATAGCAGATCGGTATGGTTTGAGTCTCTGTTTGAGTATAATGCAAATGTTGTGTTTTCTCAACATGATTTCTTACATTTTATTATTTGTATAGCCGGGCCAAGAAAGAAATACGGACTTTGGAGAATGAACTCGGCCGCTGGCAAGTTCTTGTGGATTCTGTCACTGGAATTAATCCTCCTGAATTTGATAATCAGACTCTTGCAGTTCTCAGAGGTCGGCTGGTTCGCTATTTAATGCGTTCTAGAGAGGTAAATTGTAGTTCAATAATTTTGCTGTTTCCCTTAAGATTTTGACCTGTACTATTCAATGATTTTCCTCCGCAGATAACTCTGGGCCGCTCCACTAGGGATCACAGTGTAGATGTGGATTTATCTTTGGAGGGTCCAGCTTGGAAAGTTTCACGGAGGCAAGGAACTATAAGGTTGAGAAACAATGGAGACTTTTTCATTTCCAGTGAGGGTAAACGACCTATACATGTTGATGGGAGACCGATTCTTCAAGGAAACAAGTATAGGCTCAATAATAATTCTGTTGTTGAGGTAAGGTCTGCCATATGTATTTCTTTCTGCACCACTTCATTTTCAGATC